TTTTAGATCTGTCTACGTCAAACCGAGTAGGCAGCAACTTGCGAGTAGTAGCCTAGCGTAAATAAATAAATAGTACACATGAAAATGCTTTTTGGCAGTTTGGTGTGCCGTGTGCAAGTACTCTTTTTTAATTAATTTGCTCCGCAGTTCAAAGCATAATAGCGTTTGATTTTTTTATTTTTAATAGAGAGGGAGAGAAATAAAGCTTAACAAGCTATTGTGTGTGGGTAACCACTCCAACAATATCGTGCTCAAACCATGACTTCAACCCAGCTGGCGAGAACTCTAGTCGCTGTAAGCCACCAGGGCTAGTCGCCGCCAACGAAGTCAAATAATCTGCCGAGAAGTTTGATTTACGGTAGACGTGTCGTAGTTCCACATGCCAATTATAATTCATCAACTCCTTCGTAGCCCGAACTAGCATAAAAATTATTTCGCATAAAAAATACATTGCACAATATTATTTAGCATAAAAATACATTTATTAATACACATTATACAAAAATTTATCATTAATATTACATTAAAATGCATTTTTTTTAAAAAAAAAAAAAAGAAAAAAAATGTAGCGCCTGCTACAGTGTTGCGCCAGATATGGCGCAACATTGTTCAATCCTCTACTTCATCGCGAGATTGTAGCGCACGGTTGGAGGCTTTTTTATCGTGCGATAAAACACATATATAGCGTAACACTAGGGATACTCTTAATATGATCGGTGGATGAATAGTAATTAAAGTTGATGTGGTGTTGTGTAATAATGATTGATTGATATTATTTAATTATATTGATAATATGATAGACAGTGAAGTTGTGTTAAAGTTGAATTAAATTTGAATTTTAATGTTTTTTTTTTTTTTTTTTCAAACAATAAACAATGGCACCCTAAATCTCCATAAATTAATTTAATAAGTAAAAGCAAAAATGAACCGTACACATTAGAAATATCATCATTGTACCTGCCTACTTTTGTTGATACATCCAAGTTTATTTTCCCGTGTTGGCAACGGCAACAACGAGTGTCTATATTCAAATCATGGAAGCAAGTTGAAGAAAATTAAATGAACTCTCAACTCAAGTAAAATTGGCCATTGGTTGAAAATTTGACAAGTCTCATCTACCTAATTTTGCTGAATAAAAAAGTAAAATACGTTGTGTCAACATAGGGAAACAGCCCAAGATCCTTGACCCTTAAAAAAAATATATATAAAAATAAAAAAATTGAAAGTTTCAACTTCAAATAACCAGCAAATAAATTGTAAAGTACAAAGTTATTTATTATATTTTATAATACTGTATGTAAGAAAATAACTAAATATAATAACTCATATTAGAAAGTTTATGATCATTTAATAAAAAATAATTTATATTATAATCATTTGATAAAATTTATCATTTTCACGAATGAGTTTATAAATATTGCACTTTCTTTTATATTTTGTTGGTTACATACTTATATTTAGTTGCTCCATTGTTTGATATTTGTTTCTAGTAATAATATAATTATACATTAAAATTATACATACATTCATAGTTTTATAAAAACGACACAGTTATAAAAGATAATAGGGTTAATTGCATATAAAACCTCAACCTTTAATTGCAAATAAAACTCACTATTTCAGGGCTTGATTATTTATGGAATAATTTGTTCAAAATGAGTTATTTTGGTTAACCATAGTTAATTTGAAAAATATGTATGGTTAGTTGTTAGTAAAATTTTAAGAATGTATTAAAATAATATTTAAAATAAAATGATTAAAACTGATTTGATGTAAAAGTAAGAGATAAATGATTTGAAATAAATGGAAATGATAGGTAGTAAAAATTATGTGAGTGGATGAATTGTGAATTAAAGTTGATATGGTGTGTAAGAATGATTGGTTTGTATTATTTAATTATATGAATAATATTAAAGACACAGAGGTTGAATTAAAATTGAGTTAAATTTTGAGTTGAAATAAAAGTGAGTAAAATAATTTGTAAACAATCAAGCCCTCAACTTTGCAACAAAATACCAAACCTTTATTATGTATTGCAACTTTGTCTCAACATCACTTTCCGGCCAAGCCCTGCTGACATGTCCGATCGAAAATTTGACATGTCACCGATTAAGATTGCGTGGCAAATAGTGAAGCTCACCATATAAATGAGTGAGTCTAGTTGCAACACAGTGAGTTTTCATTTTAAAACCAATTGGTGATGGAGGAGTAACCCACTAGACTTATAAACGAGATTTATTTATCTTATCAAATCAATGTGGGACAGCTTACAAGTGATATTACAACAGTTTATGATATATGCTCGAATGCTCTACAAAATTACCTCCAATTTTGTTACCCTTGTTATACATGTAGGGTCCGTTTCTTTTTTTTTTTTTTTTTTTTTTT